AGGAGGCCATCTTTGTGAAAAGAAATCGTCCATCATTAAACAGGGGTGGAGGCCTCCGGGTTCAACTGTCCCCCTCTTACAATGCTGTGATTGCTAGTATCACTCAGCCCTCTGTGAGTAGTAAACAGCCATCAGTGTGCTAATGATCCATTGTTAGGCTGATGGTCCTTCTTGAGCATGTGATCAGCTGGTTTTGGTTGTCAGCAGCAAACTGGTTGATCCACTCTGAGAAGGTGCTATTTAAGAGACTGAGCTGAAAAACAGCACCTCAGACTGAGGAAGTGTCTTGGATGAGAGACGAAACGTTTCTATATTTTTTTGCTTTGTCTTGTTTTTTGTTTTTTTGAATGTCCAGAGGACCAGACTGAACTTTTTTGGATCCTATTTAGCTGTTTATTAAACACATGACATAAAATTTTCAGAAATTATTGTTCAAAATATCTTGAGCACATTATAATGTGTATACAGTAGTCCCTCGCTACTTCGCGGTTCGTCTATCGTGGACTCACTCTATCGCGGTTTTTCATAATAAGATTGGACATGACACACAGTTGGCCGACTGATGGATGAGCTGCATGATCGGCATGGAAGTTTTATTTAAAATAAATTATTTAAAACTATTTAGCACCTGCTGCATCTGTATGCAGCCTGCAGCTGCAGAAAAAGCTGCTCCTGCACTTTTGTGCAGCCCATACTGCAGGATAAACTTCATGCTGCAGCTGATCAGCTTTTCTCCATGCAGAGCGTAGAAGTGGGCGTGGCCAAAAGTGCTTGCAGGTGGCAAAGAGCAGAGGAGGAAGGGTTCTGAAATCATGACATTCTGTGCTCTTTTAGAGTGTTTAGAGTTTAGAAACATTGTTTAGGATATTGTATAAGTGTGGGAAGGGTTTAAAACACCTTAAAGAAAAAAAAATATATTTATATAATACTAAAATAAACCTCTACTTGTGCTACTATTCCTACTTTGCAGTTTTTCACTTATCGCAGGGTTTCAGGGTATGAATCCCTCGTAATAAACGAGGGACTACTGTAAAACAGTTTACACAAGTATGTATTTGTCCTGTGTGACTTTAATGGAACTAAAGGCTCATACCTGTGTGAAGGCTTCTTGAAGGGCATGGACTCATCTTTTGTCCACCGTCATGTTGGACACCTGGCAGGGTCCAATGCTGACATGTTCCTGTTTTTAGTTTTCTACATTTGTCTTGGAATCTAGCTGTTTGGTTGTTTTTTTTTTGTTACCTTTTCCTTTTAGCCATCCTATTTGTTAAAAAAAAAAACAAAAAAAAAACTAGTATGCTTTTTTATAACTGTTTATTGTTGTTGCTGTTGTCCATTGTTGTCATCTTTCTTTGTTGAAATCAGGTCTCTTGTAAATGAGTCCTCGAGGCTCAATGGGATTTACCTGTATAAATAAAGGTTGATTGATGAAGCGAAGAGGGGACTTGGAAATACCCTGTTTGTCCATCTGTCTTGTGAGCTGGATAACTTAAAATGTAAGCAATGTGCCAACTTCCATTTTGGGGTGTGGCTGCATCTTGGCATAAGAAAGGTCACTATCAAAAATTAGGTTGGCACATCAAAATGCAAGATGGCTACCATATGTGTGCGTGTGCATGTATATATGTGTATATATACTGGCCTCCACTGTCATTTGAGGAAACAATTTTTTTTAAGTTTATATATTGTGTAAAAATATAAATTCCTCAAATGATTGCGGTGGCCAAATATTATTCTCTGGGGACCAAGACCACCATTGGCCACCCTCTGGCTCCACCAATGTACCAACTCGTGGATAAAATTGCTCCCTCTCTACCTGCCAGGATTCATCACTCTGCCCTGCCTCGGACAAAGAAAATAAATAAATAAACTACCCCTATTCTGCACAGAGTAACTCCTACCCACTTGAATATCTTACACCATAAACATTTAGGTTTACTTCATTCTCTGTTCAGTCCAGTCCAGAAAAACACTCCTCTCCAAAACTACAAACATTCACTGTTTTCTTTTGATTTTTATTGTTTGTTTGTTTTTAATAGAAATTTTCTTTCATTTTAAGTTGCTGTATTTTAGTGTATAAGACCTAGACGTTTTTTCTTGAAAGTTACAATAAAAATAAAATGTACTTCGTAGTTTAACTAGTATTTTAGTCATTGAAAAGTTTTTTATTCTTGCTTTTGAATTGTTACAAACATGATGTCCAAGGCTCTTGCTAACATTTTTATTCTTGACAGCTAGAAGTTGTTCAAAAAGTTTGACAGGCAGCAGGGAAAGTTGTAGAAAAATCTTCAACTGCATGCAGAAAGCTGGAGGCAGATAGCAACATAAAATACACAAACTACCGCTTCTTAAACATTAAGAATGCAAGTTTTATAGAGTTCAAGTAGTTACTGTTGCCAGCTGTGCACAGTATCCCCTGCTGCAGTTTAAGCTTACATCTGTGGTGTCATCATTACTTAATATCTGTGTGTGTGTGTGTGTGTGTGTGTGTGTGTTTTACCTGAAAGACCCCAGAGAAGAGGAGCCACAATGGATACACAAACTTGCCAGATGTGGTGCAACCTTCCCACTCTCCCACTGAGTCAGCCACTCACTCCTCTCCTGGGAAAGACTCAGTTTATGATGTAAGTTTTACTGAAGGAGCAATTTTGCTTATTTCCTTTTCTTTTTTTAGCCAGACCTCATCAGTTTAGTTTTCCACCGACTTGTGAAACTCACACACACTCTTTGCTCCACCAGTATCAGTCCAGAGGTTTGGTGAAGACGTCTGCCAAGTCTTCTTTCACGACGTTTGTGGATCTTGGCATGTACCAGTCACCAGGAGGAACGGGGGACAACATGTCCCTCAGTAGTGAGTCCAAATTTTATGCAACATCTGCTTTAAGTAAATATTATTCTGTTGGGTTTTATTCTAAAATATTCCTTTTTTTTTAAATATTAGCGCAGGGGTCAAAATTAACCAAATGAAAGCACTGGTAAGCCACAATAATTTGAAATTTGTGGGGGGGGGGAGGACATACAATTAATATATATATATATATATATATATATATATATTTTTAAGTCTCAACAATTTGAACAAATTTTGAATAAAGGACAAAAATGTACTAATTTTGGTGGAGATGGATTTCTGAATTGTTGTAGATCTGAAACTTTAAATGCCTTGTAAACATTAACTTTGTTAAAAATGAGCTTTCAATTCCTTTGATTTGTCAATTCTATTGTTTTTTTAATATATATTTTTATTTTGGTGCTTTGCGTTGTGATAAAAGAAATGGCCATCTCCACAGGTTAGTACTGTATCTAATATTGTACATTTTAGGATTTCCCCCTCCCCAACTGTTTTTGGTTAAACCTAAAACAAATTTTATATAATCATTTATTTATTTATTATAAGTATCACCATTATATTTGCAGAAGGTGCACATCTGCATAAACCTCTTAAACCTCCATCCATCCATCCATTATCTTTACCCGCTTATTCCATTTTGGGTCACGGGGGTCGCTGGTGCCCATGTCCAGCAATCACTGTGCGAGGGGCGGGGTACACCCTGGACGGGTCGCAAGTCCATCACAGGGCCACATAGAGACAAACGAGACAAACAACCATTCACTCTCTCACTCACACCTAGGGACAATTTAGAGTTACCAATCAGCCTAACATGCATGTTTTTGGACTGTGGGAGGAAACCGGAGTACCCGGAGAAAACCCACGCATGCACGGAGAGAACATGCAAACTCCACCCAGAAAGGCCCCTGGACCGGGGTTTGAACCAGGGACCTGCTCGCTGAGAGGCAGCAGCTCTACCAGTTGCGCCACCGTGCTGCCCCTCTTAAACCTGTGGGCCAAAATTTCACCATTCCTAAATTGAGATCTTGGGCCTCACAGAATAACTCCAAGGGCCACAAATGGCCCTCAGGGTACATTTTGACACCCCGTACTATTAGTTTAAAAAAGCACCTACAGACCTGAAGTGACTGAAGATGTGTCTTGATCAGTTTAAATTACATTTTAAATAGAAAAAAAGACTTTAGGTTAACATTTTGGTCTTGGGTGCCTTAATTTGTGTTCTTCTTTAGAGTTGTTTCTGTTTCCTTCTTGCGTAGACTCCAGGTTTGAGCAGCTGAAGATGGAGGTAAGGAAAGGGTCCATGGTGAACGTCAATCCTACCAACACACGTCCTCCCAATGACACCCCCGAGATCCGCAAATACAAGAAGAGGTTCAACTCTGAGATCCTGTGTGCTGCACTGTGGGGTGAGGATCGTCTTTATTTCTCTGTTGTTGTAAAATAAAAAAATTAAAAAGCTGAAACTACACTACTATAATCTATTATTCATATTAGAGGATATTCATAAAGTAGCACATGTCAGGTTTCAGACATAACTGACAGGACTAATAAATTGCAAACATTTTTATTATATGCCTGTCAAAAGATGGATGTGATGTGGTCCATGATCTCTGTCCATCTGTAAACTTTCTCTTGTTCCGCCTATAATATCAGAGCCTGCTCAAGTTTAACTAATCTTAAATGCCAATTTCAAGGTCAAGGTCACAAATTAAGGTCCAAGTTAAAATGAGGTCTTTGCTTGTCTGGGCCATAACTTCTGATCCGCTCAAGATAATTTAAGGTAGCTTGATAAACGTTTGTCCCACCACTATACAGCATATCACATAATCACCCCAGATCTAAAATCAAGGTCATAATTCAAGAAATGTTATACAGGGTCTCTGCTTGTTTGGGCCATTGCTATAGACTGCTGTAATGTGCTGTATGCAGGAGTTTAACCTGCTTCAGAGTTGAGATATTTAAACCCTCATTTCTCTCAAAGGTGCACTCCAGCACTGCTTTGGCTGTAAAAGTTCAAATGCTAGAACTGGTTATAGTTATAATTTGGAAACAGCCTTTGAATTTGGGCACATACTGCAAGAAATGCCATGTCTAAAATATGAGTATTCTTTGACGTTTGTGTGTGGCTGTAAGAAAAGTAGTATATAAAATATTTGAACTCTTATTATGAGCATGTCGCAGACGACACATTTTTATATAATAGTAATAACTCTTAATAGACGGTAAATTGTAAAGTAAACAACAAAAAAATCCTGCTAGATATTGAAAGTTCAAAAAAAAAAATGGACAAAAAATTTTACTCACAGGACGTTTAATGGTCTTTTTACTATAAATATTTAGAGGCTTGGGTGGTAAAGTGTTAAACAAGATGATGATTGCTGATCATTTTCTGTCTTCAGGTGTGAACCTGTTGGTGGGCACAGAGAATGGTTTAAAGCTGCTGGACCGCAGTGGTCAGGGGAAAGTTTACCCCCTCATCAACTCCCGCAGGTTCCAACAGATGGACGTCCTTGAGGGTCTCAACCTGCTCATCACCATATCAGGTATATGCTGCTCCTCCATTCTGATATCTTTCAACAACCATAGAAAACTCATAAAACCATCAGTCAGGTGGTGTTTTTTTTATTTTTTATTAATTAATTTATGCCAATAATAAGCTAAGGAAAAGTTCAAGCTGCTGAATATAAAGTGGAGTTTCTCAACGAGCACAATAGTTTTTATAAATAAATACACACTTCTTGTTCTTCCATCCATGCTAAACCCCAACATTTAGCATATCTTTGACCAAAGTCCCCCCGTGTTTTATAAAGGCAAGAAAAACAAGGTACGTGTTTACTACCTGGCGTGGCTGAGGAATAAGATCCTCCACAATGATCCTGAGGTGGAAAAGAAACAGGGTTGGACCACTGTGGGGGAAATGGAGGGCTGTGTGCACTACAAAGTGGGTGAGTAGCAGATGGTGACCACTTATCGGTTCTGCTCCAGAGAAATTCTGATGAATGCATTCAGAGCAGTAAATTATTGATCCTTGGTATCTAATGCCACATATTTGTGTTGATGTTCTGCCTAGTGAAATACGAGAGGATAAAGTTCCTGGTGATCGCTTTGAAGAATGCCGTGGAAGTTTACGCCTGGGCGCCCAAACCTTATCACAAATTCATGGCCTTCAAGGTAAGTTGTTCTACTGCCAGCAGAACCAGAGGAGCATATCTGTTGATTATCTTCTCACATTCTCTGCACCTCCATTCACCCCCTCCCCTTTAAAACAGTCGTTTGCAGACCTTCCACACAGGCCTGTCCTGGTCGACCTGACGGTGGAGGAAGGTCAGAGGCTGAAGGTCATCTACGGGTCTTGCGCTGGCTTCCATGCTATCGACGTGGACTCCGGAAACAACTACGACATTTATATCCCCGTTCACGTGGGTTGTGAAGTCTGCAGCGTTTGGAGAGCAGTGAAAACCAGCAGAAGCTCATCCTTCGTGCTTTTGTCTTAAACAGATCCAAAGCCAAGTGACCCCACATGCCATTGTGTTCCTGCCCAACTCAGACGGCATGGAGATGCTGCTGTGCTACGAGGACGAGGGGGTTTACGTCAACACCTACGGACGCATCATAAAGGACGTTGTCCTGCAGTGGGGCGAGATGCCCACCTCTGTTGGTACGACTCAAACCCAACCACGCGTTTACAAATAAAAGTGTGTAAAACTAGTATTATTATGAATCCTAAACTCTGCTCTGCAGCTCATATCTGCTCCAACCAAATCATGGGCTGGGGGGAAAAGGCCATTGAGATCCGTTCTGTGGAGACGGGCCACTTGGACGGTGTCTTCATGCACAAAAGAGCTCAGAGGCTGAAGTTCCTTTGTGAGAGAAATGATAAGGTAAAAGATGCACACTGATTGCACAATTAAAAATGTTTTTAACCAAAAGTTTAAAAGATCAGGATCGTTGTTTTTAGCTGTTTTTAAAAATCTCAAACAAGAGACCAGTTCATTAATGTAGTAAATTTACGGTCAGAGGCTCAGGAAGAAAATGACCTCCCTAAAAAATCATTTTAATTACAGTGTCTAATTAGAAGCAAAAGAACAAATTAAAACTATTTTAATCATATGGGGAGAAGCTGAAGACGTGCCAGACCTCACTTGGCTAAAAGCAGTGATTTCCGTAAGTAGCAGAGCTTTCAGCGGGAGGGGGGAAGAAGCTCTGGTAGGCAGGGCGCTCTGTTCTGTTGACAGGGCGGGGCGCCCTCCTTGGATAATGGTAGAGGAAACACTGACTTTTCATCACACCAGCTTGAAAATCAAGGCCACAAATTAAGGTCAAAGTTAAACAAGGTATTTGCTTATCTGGGCCATAACTTCAGGTCTACGCAAGATAATTTAATGAAACTTGATATACATTTGTACCATCACCAGACAACATGTCATCTTTTTATCACCCCAGCTCTGATGTTAAGGTCACAAATTAAGGTCAAACATTGTACAAGGTCTTTGCTTGTCCACGTCATAGCTATAGATTCTGTATACAGTAATCCCTCGATTATTGCAGGCGTTATGTTCCACCCCACCCCCGCGATAGGTGAAAAACCGCGAAGTAGGAACGCTATATTTATATATATATATATATATATATATATAAGACTTTATGAACCCTTCCCGCACTCTTGCAATGTTCTAAACTCTTAAACCTGCGTCATTTTAACAATATACTTATATGTACTGTACGTTAGCTACTGCAAAATTTTATATAGGGACTCACCAACCTTGGTCTGGTCCTGGTCTGGTTCTGATCAGCTCTCTGCAGCCATTGAGCACCAGACACTTTTGGAGAGAGCCAGGCCTTATGATAGGCAGCACAAAACCACACAATGGTCCTGCTCGAGTCCAAATAATCCAGAGGGATCTGAAAAAAGTCTGGGTGAGCTCCAAAGAAGACACTAGACCTCCAAGCAATGCCTCCCCACTCGAGAGGACTCATGGGCCGGCAAGCAGCGCTCAGATTGACCGATGAGGCTGGAAGTAGTTCTGGTCTGGTTCTGATCAGCTCTCTGCAGTCACTGAGTGCTGAAGTCGCTGTGAATAAGGACCAATTTTTTTAGTCAGGTTCCAATCGGATCAACACTTTCCCTCCATTTCGGCAGAAAGCAGCAGCTGTAAGCACTGTTCCCTTCTGGGTAGTGTAGTTCTTTGACTGGCGATACAGTGTAGGCTTATTGAAAGAAAACTACAAAATGGCAGTGCCTGTCCGGAGTATTTTTTTCGTTAACTTTTTATCTCTTACCGTCCCAGTCATGTGAGTAATATTAAAGTTGACAATCGTTGGAAAAACCATGAAAGAGCGAGTCTGCAAAAGTCGAACTGCGAAGTAGTGAGGGAGTACTGTAATGGTTTGTTAATGGGTGTATAATGTGCTGTTTTTCCTGTGGTTGTTAAAAGCTTCAGTGAGAAACCAGGAAAAATCTCCTCTCTCCCTCTCATCCTTGAAGTTACGTTGACATTATAACTTTGTGTTTGGAGAATTTCTGAATACGGTGTTGTTTCCTGAATTAAAGTGATTAGTGTCCTTCATGTCTGCGCCGCTCCTCAGGTGTTCTTTGCTTCGGTGCGCTCCGGAGGCAGCAGCCAGGTGTACTTCATGACCCTGAACAGAAACTGCATCATGAACTGGTGAAGGAACGGCTGCTTCTGGTCAGTGTCTGAAAACCCAGCAGGGTCCGGAGAACCGAGCGCATCCTCAAGATCTCACGAACGCATGCACACGATTGTGAACACCCCTCCTTTTTCTCGACAGTTCCTTCAACACTTGCCCTGCAATGACAAAGACACACACACACACACACACACACACACACACACACACACACACACACACACATCTCTGAATCCATTCCAGCCTACACTCCTTATGATTTCACCAGAGGCCCCCGATGAGTCTCCCTGGGATCATCCCGACAACAGCTGACGAGTTTCAAAATGTTTTGGTTTGAACCATGTGTGTATACTGTATAAATTTATATATATCCAGCTTGATTTACTTTGTGAACCTGTCTTTTAGTTTTAACTATTTAGTTCCTAATTGTGGAGTACGTTAGCACACCTCGATGGCTCTGCGGTGCGTAAAGACGAAGGCATTATTTACCTAGACTGTATTCATAATCCATCTGTAAATAGATAAAAGCTGTACAGCCGCTGTTTACAGGGACGTCCGAAACTAACACGCGGGGGCACTCGTCTACTGTGGCTCACGGACCTCGATTGTTTTGTGGTTCCCACTTGTAGAAGGTTTTAGCGCCCATGTTGGACATTTTACAAAACGATGTTCAAATCTGGGCGGATTAACTGGAATATTTTCAATCATTTACAGTAAGCTAACCAGAAGCCCCGCTTTATGTTTGTTTGTTTGTTTTTAGGCCTGAACGTCAAATTTTGTTGCAACTTTTATTCAGATTTAACTTTGAGTTCACATGAATAAACGGCAAATCCAGTTTGTAGCTTCATGCGTCACGTTTGAAACCAGTACAGTGAAACGTCCTGCTGCTTCTATAGTTTAAAACCCACAAATTATTTCTCAAATCCCATTTGTATCCATTTTTTGTAAATTTACAGAAATACACAGAGTGAATATTTATATGTAGTGATTATGTATTAGCATTAGCCTACTGTTTTTTCTGATTTTACTGTAATTATTGCCATATTATTGCAATATAATCTATTATGGAGTCATCGACGAGGGGAGTCGGGGTGTTTGGTTTGACGATACGGTAGAGATTATTAGCTGTGGTCTACTTTACTGTATTATATTTTAGTTTTTAGACTATTTTGTTTATGTGAGAGGCATTGGTCCAGAGAGGTTCTCTCACTTTATAGCGTTCATCTTGGGCCAGTAAAACCGTGAGGCTACAGAACGCTCCGTCTCTTAAGAGACTTTAGAGAACGCATGAGTCTTAAAATAAATTTTATCTCTACGTTCTGCCAAAGCTCACAGTATATTTTACAAAACGGCGTGAATCAAAGCCAAAGAAAGAAGAGCTTCTATGGAGGCAAAATGAAATGAGATATAAAACCCTGCAGGTCTCCAACCAGGTTTTTCTTTCAGACCGTTTAGTTTTAAATAGATTCAGCCCAAGCCTTGGTTAGCTTCGCTGCTCATCACTCGGAGCAGAAACCTGATCAGAACGAATAAATTTCAGCAGCTTTTCGTCATTTGGATCAGGTGAACTTCGTGACATCGAGCTGAACCAGACACTTTTTCAGTTTGAAAATGTTTTTAACTCTTGGTTGTAATCGGCGGGACGGTGTGCAGAATCTTCGTCTTTAGGCTAACGACATGTTGAAAAGTCCAAATGAAGACTGCAGCTCAGGTTGGGGGTAAAGAGTGTGAAGTCAAATGTGATTATAAATAGAAGATTCATTTTAAAAGTGAAATTATAGTTGTAAATGGAAAGCACATTCACTTCAAACATACATTTACAGATATAAATATATAAATATATCAGATAATTAAGTGTGCATGTAAGCCATTGAATTAGATGACATAGTACTTTATCAAAAGTTGTTTTTTACGTCGTCTTGTTTCTTATTTTCCGTGCCATGACGTACACTACAGATTTCTTGATTAGAATCCACCTGGAGTTTTTATTATCATTTCAATGGATTTTCCATCGTGTTTACAGTTCAAGCAGTGCCTTGGAGTCAGGAAGCAGAGAGGTTTTAAAGAAGGGTTGTGAGCCCCGACCGTTCGCTCCCTCGTTTATTTTTATCAATCGTCCGGTGCCAGTTAAAGTGCACTTAAACAAGAAACTTTGAGATGCCTGTTTTGGCACCACAGACCCCCCCCCCCCCCCCCCACCACCAAAATGATGCGTTGACGTATCCAATCAGTGGCAATAACCGAGAACGCGTCCGTTAAATCCGATGTAACGCGTGGAAACTCCCAGCCAGCATAAAGAAAAGCCATTTGTAGAGAGCTTGGTTATTTGCGTGCACATCAAATCAACGCGTGTGTGTTAGCTCAGTTGATTCATACTGCACAGATAAAATTATACGCATATTCTTTATTGATGTTTGTGTGATCTTGTAGTGGAGAGTAGCTTATATTCTCAGAAGCCTATTTTATAAAGTGTGCGAATTAGTCTATAAGGAGAGGTAGAAGTGAATGTACGTCTATAAAACAGGTTTGTATTTAATCTAAGCACAATGTGTTTGAAAGCAGACTTCCAACTGAGCGCAGCCGAGAGGCGGCGGCGTTTGTTACAACGATCAGACATCCAGAGGGGGCGGAAGAGTCCGCCGTGGCTTTTCTGCTGGAGACCTTCATGAGGAAATGCTGCCGTGACCGATTCCCAATGAAATGGACTAAATCAGTAGTTGAAAACGTAGGCTTTATAAAATGTGAAGGATAATTCTTCACTGCACAAGATAGAAGAAATAAAGAGCTGAGTGAAGCCTTTAAACCGATATCTGAAGAAATAATTCACGTATAGCAACACAGTCATCGACAGAAATCAAATCTCCAGTTTGATCAGGAAGTTGAACTTGCTTGAAGTTAGTTGGGTCGTGGTGTTTTGGGTAGAGTCCGACTTGTTTTTAGAAGTCGGGGCAGCCAGCGGCTGAAATACAGCTCGGACTTTAAATTTAGATCAACATGTTTGTTTCATTATTCAATAAATTTTAGTATTTGCTTAAATCGCCTAACTTAAATACACATATCTTTAACCACCCTTAGAAGAACGTCCACTTTAAATGAACACAAAGAGCGTTCTCGTTAATAAAAACTTGTGGTTGCAGCGAGATGGTTGCTGCCTCCAGTTTCTCTTCGTAATTAATCCATTTAGCCGAAATGTGTGCAAAGTTGATTTAAAGTTGTTGGCTGAACTTTTAGTTAGGGGTTGCTTTTAAGAATTATATAATCTAAAATAAAGACTTTAACGTGTAAAATGAGAAGCGGTGTGTTCATTTAAAATAAGAGATAGGTATTTAGTGGCAAATAACTTCAGTTAAACTAAAATAAAAACAAATTTCAATCAAGCGTCGTTTAAATGATGTCTTTTGATTTGGAAACTTGACTGAAGGCGAAGATAATCCAGTTCAAGTTAGCGGGTCGTGGTTTGAAGAGTTGTGTGTTTTAAAAGCACCTTAACGAGTAAAAGTTTTGAATAAAGACCCGAGCCTCACGAACGGTGCGCGGATGTGGCATTGAGACGGATTCTTGTGTCGGCTCCGAACAGGAGGAGGCCTTTGGAGTTGCAGGTTAACAGAAATGTGCAGATTTCTAAGCAATACGAGTGTGAACAAGTGTAAACCCTGACGGTGCACCTCGGCTCGCCCAGTGGCCTCTGGCAGAATAAATGTTGGCAGGTCCATCTCTGGTCTCAGTCGGAACGCCTGCGTGGACCATCGTGACACGGCTGAACCTTTATGGTAAATACATGATGACATGCCCTTGTTTTATAGTTCTGCTCACGCAAGATTTGAGTTTGGCAGATGACACAACTTAGGGAGCTGTAAACCGTCGGGATTTTAAGACAGAACTACAATATCAAAATTTTTTTTTTTTCAATAACGTTAATTTTTTGTTTTTGGCAATGTTTTAATGCGCCCACATCCGTGTTACCTGTGAGAGGGTTACTTCAGATTGTATTTCATAAACTTATAAACTTTACCAAGATTGTGCTGAATGAATTCATGTCTTAATACAGATTGTTTGTTTGACAAAATAAAATACCTTGATCTCAATTTTCTTCTGAAAGTGTTTTTTTTTACATGTTGGCTGCATGACGTCTAAAATGAAACATTTTTCCAGAACATTAAAATATGTAATTATTTGAGGTGAGAACATGTGTTGATGTAAAGTTTGCCCGATACCGTCAGAAATCCAGCTCAGAGTTGTTCTTTACTTCAAGCTGACCTCAAATCAGTCTGCAGCTTGGACACGACCTGTTGACAACATCTGGCTGTCTGCAACTTTTACAATAAACAAGGCAAAACATAGTGTACAGTACACAGTGTACTGTGTACATGACCTTAGTAAAAATACACAGTGTACTGTGCACATGACCTTAGTAAAAATACACAATGTACTGTGTACATGACCTTAGTAAAGATACACAGTGTACTGTGTACATGACCTTAGTAAAAACACTGTGTACTGTGTACATGACCTTAGTAAAAATACACAGTATATTGTGTACATGATCTTAGTAAAAATACACAGTGTACTGTGTACATGACCTTAGTAAAAAT